AATGGTAGAGTCTTGTCATCAAGAGGCAAAGGGTCCAGTGTCCCCTTCACGAGCCACTGTGGAGGAACTTCAGGTTTGGGGAACCTGATACTTTCAGTCTCTAAATTACTTTTACTACAGCACTCCAGATCAACACAAAAGCAAAATCATTATGCAAAGAGATTAAATTCTTAGCACTAAAGTGCCAAATAGGTTGTGGGATCTCCTAGTGCTCTAGAGATTTTGAAAGGGATTGTTTGGAAGGATGGGCAAGAACAGGATTGAGGAAAGTCCTTTCCAGTCCTGGGTGCTGTGTTTAGGTATGCAATAGTTCCACGTCAGCTGAGTACCAGCAATCACTGCCTCTAGCTGTGCAAAATCCAACCTTTCCTTGGGGAAAGACTGAAAGTCTCCAAATTCTCCCTTCTGTGGCACCAGGCCAGTTATCTAGAGCAGCATTTGCTGAGAGAGGTTGGCCTTCGTCATGGGGAATCTAAATCAGAGTAGTTTTGGGATGGGTAGACCTCTCCCTTTGCATCTGGAGATGACCTCTGCACTTGGTTTCCCAAAACAGACTTGCAACAATTGCAGATTTTGGCCATTTACAGTTAAAAAAAATAATCCCAAGCACCAAATACTTCTATCTTACAGTACCCCAGACGCTTGTTCCTCATGATTTGGGCATGAAGACAGTCAGATCTTTTTGGGAGGAAGAGCACTCTTTTCCCTTTCCCTGCCTTCACCCTGGGATGACTTTGGGTTTTTTTTTGCTCTCCAGAAGATGTAGACACAGACAAATTGGAAGTCCGCGTGGTGGATGGTCCCAATAAATGTTCTGGGAGAGTGGAAGTGCTTCACAAGGACGTCTGGGGGACCGTGTGTGATGACGGCTGGGATTTAAGGGAAGCAAAGGTTGTATGCAGGCAGCTGGGCTGTGGGACAGCACTATCAGCTCCCCGAGAGTCCAAATACGGAGAGGGGAAGGGCAAAATCTGGTTGAGCGACCTTAAGTGCACAGGGAGAGAAGCTTCCCTTGCTGAATGTAAGGCAAAGCCATTGGGAGAAAACATCTGCAACCACGTGGAAGACGCCAGTGTGGAGTGCTCAGGTAAGATCCAAATATTTCTCACTTTGAGCCATCCTGGCCCTTTTGCCTCAAGGTGGGCCATGGAGCAACTTCCAACACAACCCATTAGGGATGCAAAATGACTCTGTTGAGATCCGCTTTCTCACCCGTGTTGACCCAAATAATCATGACCCGTCATGATTCTCTATACTGCAATGCTGGGAATGGATAGAGACAGTTCCCTTTCACTCCTGGTAGCCTCCATGTTGCCATCTTTCTTCTTTCAACTTTTCTTGTTATGTCAGAACCATAGAATCATAGAATGCTTAAGGTTGGAAGGGACCTCTAGAGATCATCTAGTCCAACCCCCTTCACACGCAGGGTCACCTAGAGCACATGGCACAGGACTGCATCCAAGCGGGTTTGGAAGATCTCCAGAGAAGGAGACTCCAGAACCTCTCTGGGCAGCCTGTTCCAGTGCTCTGGCACCCTCACTCTCAAGAAATTTTTCCTTAAGTTCCTGTGGAACTTTCGATGCTTCGGTTTGGGGCCATCACCTCTAGTTTTGTCGGTGGCCACCACTGAAAAGAGGCCAGCACCATCCTCCTCACGGCCTCCCTTGAGGTACTTCTAGACACTGCTCAGGTCCCCTCTCAGCCTTCTCTTCTCCAGGCTGAACAGGCCCAACTCCCTCAGCCTCTCCTCATAGGGCAGATGTTCCAGGCCCCTGATCATCCTTGTGGCCCTGCGCTGGACTCTCTCCAGAAGCTCCACATCCCTCTTGTACTGTGGAGCCCAGAACTGGACACAATACTCCAGATGTTTTTTTTCCAGGATCCCATTGGCCTTCTTGGCCACAAGGGCACCCTGCTGCCTCCTGGTCAACTTGTTGTCCAACATGACGAAGGTGGGAAGGATGTCCTTGACAGTGGACAGGCAGTTTCGATGTGTCATAAGAGACCCTGCTCTCCTCTTGATACCACCTGCACTAAAACCTCTTTCAAAGTTATTTCACCCTTTTTTTTTATTTTTTTTTTCAGAAGAAGAAATAGCTGAGTCAGGGCCAATCCGGCTGGTGGGAGGCCCGAACAGATGTGCTGGCAGAGTCGAGGTGCTCCATGAAGATCTGTGGGGGAGCGTGTGCCATGACAGCTGGGATATGGACGATGCCCAAGTCGTGTGCAGGCAACTGGGCTGTGGGGATGCGGTGCTGGCCCCAATCGGAGCCAAGTTTGGAAGAGGAACTGACACCATCTGGCTGGATGATGTAAACTGCAATGGGACAGAAAAGACCATCGCCGAATGCCAAGCGAGGCCATGGGGGGAACACAATTGCTACCACGGGGAAGACGCTAGCGCAATTTGCTCAGGTAATATTTGCATTTTCCCCATTTTTTTAGCTACAGGTTGATATGTCCTCACAAACAATTCTGGAAGGAAATAGGACTTTAATATCGAACATTAATCTGAGTTCGTGCAAGCTGGTGGATGCTGATGCAATCCAGAGCTGATTCCTGACGGTCATTCAGGGTCCTTATGGCATGGAAGGGTTCTCTGGTCTGGGAGATTTCCTCCTCTCTGCCCACAGGGGTGCTCTGTGGCACTTTTTTTTCCAGATCAGACTCAGGGTCAGTCTTTTATGGTGACAAAGAAGTCATTTTATCAAACACAGGACTTACAGTCTCTATGCACTGCCTCATTTACCAGACAGTTAATTTGGTTGATTTTCTTAAAAAACAGGGCCTTTCCTCACAACTACACCTGGTTTTATTTCCCCACACACCTGGTAAAGGCTGCTGTTGTGTCCCTTGCTGAGATAGCTGCATTTCTCATGCGGAAAAAGCTCCGAATGGGACGTTGCGGTGAGCAGGTCCAGGAGAGGGGTGTAAAACAAGAGACCTGCAAATGCGCATCCTGCGTTTCCCAAGGATCCCAAGGATCTGCTCTCTGGCTCTGTCCGCAGACTCTGGGATCACCGTCTCCACCTCTGTCCGCCTCGTGGATGGCCCGAGTCGCTGCTCGGGGCGAGTGGAGGTGCTGCACAAGGACGTCTGGGGGACCGTGTGCGACGACGCCTGGGATATGAGGGAAGCCAACATCGTGTGCAAGCAGCTGGGCTGCGGGAGAGCGCTGTCGGCTCCCCGAAAGTCCAAGTACGGAGAAGGGAAGGGCAAAATCTGGTTGAGCGACCTTAACTGCACAGGGACGGAAGCATCCCTCATGGAATGCGAGGCGAAGCCATTGGGAGAAAACATCTGCAACCACGTGGAAGACGCCAGCGTGGAGTGCTCAGGTAATCTCTCCGTTGTCCCTGTGTTGGGAAGTTGAGTGGTTGGATCCCACCTTACAGTACGCCCCGTTCAAATGAGGGCCAATCCTGAGCATCAGCGTAACTTCTTCTGTGTCTTCTGGTGGGAATGGAGAGGGGCCCCCTAAAGTCATCCTGATGTGCAGGGCATTAGTCACCTAATGATGCAGTTCTGGAAGTGGTGCTGCGCCTACGGCAGCGTTAAATCTTCTCCTACCTGAGAGCGCTGTGGTTCCCTTGGTCCCTCTCCAGCCTGAGGGGTAATTGCAATCAATAGACTCCTTGAACCAGCCCCTCAGCAGAGCCTATAGCCATGCATGAAAACTCAGAATCATAGAATCATAGAATGCTTAAGGTTGGAAGGGACCTCTAGAGGTCATCTAGTCCAACCCCCCTGCACACGCAGGGTCACCTAGAGCACGTGGCACAGGACTGCATCCAAGCGGGTTTGAAGATCTCCGGAGAAGGAGACTCCACAACCTCTCTGGGCAGCCTGTTCCAGGGCTCTGGCACCCTCACTGGTAAGAAATTTTTCCTTAAGTTCCTGTGGAACTTTTGGTG